TGATATTTTCCACCTTGTGCGTTCGAAGTACTATTTTCAACCATGAATGAGGGACCAATTCAAACGTTTCTTATATTCAATGCATCCTTATGAGATGTTGAGTCTTACATGCAGCAATTGATTGGTAACTGAATCAATTATAAGCAATTCTGCAACATTAGCTTCCATTTTTGCAGCCATTTTGCTCTGCTGTTACGATGCTTGGTACCAAATTTTCATCGCCTCTTACCATCTAAAGTATCGTTCTCTGCTAGTAGATCGTCAGTCTGAAAGTTCTTTCCCACCGTCGCATCCATTCGTGAGGTTGCATGACTTTTTCTCCTTCAGCTCTAAAGTTAAGCTCCGTAAAACGGTGCCAAAATAATTCCAGAAACCGCGAAGCCAGTAATTTGTAGATGCATACGAAGTATTTCCACGTGGTAATTTTGAATATCATTTTGAATATCTAGTCTGGGCGATTTTTAGTTGAATGTCCATTTAACAGCTTAAGGAATATGTCCAGGTGTGATCCGGATAGATTGCGTTGTTCTGATGTGGACGGTACCATCATATCATCACCATCATCATATCATACCACCATATCATCCCGTACCTTGCTTGCTTCCACGTACTTTCCGCTTCTCTCATTCTCTGTCTTATGTTTGTTTCGATGTTCTCTGTTCTTAGGCCATTTTTGATGCTTCGCTTTGGGGTGCAGTGTATTCTGTTCTTCATTCATTTGCGTTTACTGTTCTAGCGATACAGATGACTTGTAAGCACATTGCTCTAAGGCATCCTTTTATATGGATTGATTCTAAAGCCATGTACCGCATTATCTGTTTATTTTGATTCCGTTGTATTTTCCTTGTTATCTGCCTTATAGGTTGCCTTTTATGATGCCTGAGCTATAAAATTTGGAGTAATATAAATGATTTCTCTTATATTAATGACTGCTGAATTTTAAATTCAGTTTTAATCGTCGATGCCTTGGTACTTTTGCCATATGTTGTTTGGGTAAACATCCTTATGTTGAGGTATAATTCCATCGGCTTCCGTTACAACGCTTGCTTTTATCGCTCTTCTACTTTTGGATCCTTTGAAATGTTGTCGCCTCTTGAATCGCTTATCGAAATGGGATTTACCCATGAAAAAGCGTAAGTACTAACTCGGTGAAAGCATGCAAATAGGCATTTCATTTGACATTTATTTTATAATGAAGTTTCACTTGTTGCGCAGGTAAATTAGTCTTCTTATCGATATGTTCATTGCTGATTCTTGAAAATGCTTTACGACGATCCTCTTGTGATTCTAAATGTCCATAAGCAGAATTTTCGTATAAAAGATACGGATATGATTGCTTCAGCAACACTTTAGCAAATGAGGTAACAAAGACATCTAGAAACTAGAATGGTAGCTATATGCTGCTAAAGCGTCTCAGTTTCATGGGTAAGTTTAAAGTTAACCTGTTATCTCTGTTCCGTGCTGCTGGAGAACACGGAAACAGTATTGCTGTCAGAATTCTTCTTGAGAAGATCCTTCACAGACTCAAGGGAGCTCTCCGCATGCTATCTGAATTGTATATTGATCGGGGAATGCTTCTGTAGGCGGTGTATAAAACGAAGAAGAAACGGAAATCTCTAACCATTGCAATATGTCTTTCTTATACTTGCATGATAGGGCCATTTCTAGCACGTTTGTTTTCATAAATTTGATGGTGCGTGCGCCTATTTTCATTTCCATGTTATCAGCTATGAGTGTCTTATGTTTTTAAACACAGGATCAGTGGCAGCTATTTGACAAGTATAATCTATATTTTCTTGTTCCCTTCCCACTCATTTTTCATTCTCAGAAGGAATCAACCAAGTCGCCCTAACCTGGGCTGAAAACCAAGACCTTTCGATTTGGAGTTCCGGCTCTCTACCGATCGAGTAACCCCGTTCAGAAGGAACGTATGGTAACTGTTTTACCAATTCGTGGTAAAGACAAAGACTTCCCTCCGCGGGAGCCCAAATTTCCACCTCCGTAGTTCGAGTTCGAATCAGACCTCCTATGCACTGTGTCACCCTGCACTGTGTGCTGATGTCGAGCTTATTTATTCTCGTTCAGCAGGCAGTCCTTGCGCAGTACAACAGAGAATACAAAACTGTAAAAATTTAACACCACAATGACTAGATTACTAAGCGTATACAGAGTTGATGATCGACACGGCAATTGGGGTGGTGGTATGATATAAATGTTGATATTTCAAATTTACTATGCGTAAGGCGTAGGCTCATAGAACTTCTTTTGGAGCTGTGTATATTAGACACTAAAAGTTTAGTGTAAGAACTGTTACTTTAGTAGTAGAAGTCTTCTTTCAGAGTCCACGCCGATTAAGAAAGTCCCGGAATAAACGTCATCACAAAACGGGGCTTAGCCTGAGATGTCAATGTCGTTGGTACCCTGGAAGCAGAATTGACGGTTCCTTAGACGCATGTTACCTCGAAATTCTTCATGTTTTTTATCATATGCATCTTGTGATTTTATATACACGGTATGATTGAGCAGCGGTAGTGAGTAAAATAATGTTCTAATTTATAGCAAATGTGCTACAAATGAAAGGTAGTGCCAGTAATATTCATTATAAAAATATATTTGTGACTGCAATCGTTTAAGACTTTCGTTTTTCATTCCTTTTATTACGATGTGCAGATGTGAAATGAGAAGGTGGCATACCTATCGAACGCCACTTTGAGTTATATGATCATAAATCATAAATGTAGTGTTTTAGCAAAATAACTTTGAGTTCAACTGCTGCTTATGTAAGAATAGATGAATTATGCAGCTTATTCAGTGATTCAGTGACAGGGTAATGAGAATAGCAAAGCAACGTATAAGATCGATTTTAGTCAGGTGAGTAAATGTTTTACTCAATTTCATATTGTTCTTTAGAAATGTCATAGCCCAAAATTTCGCACTTACAATGTAAAGTTATAATCATCATTTCGAAAATCGAGTATCAAATGGATGAATATTAGTCGAGTTTTCGAAGGATTAGAGGATCTAGTATCAAATATATGTGATATTACATAATACGACAGAATTCAGCAGTAAATAAGGAAATAAACAATTCTGAAATACGTGAAAAATAAAATGGCAGTTAATTTAATTCCATTGTATAAATAAAGTTATTTTTTTAGTCCTGTCGCAAATATAAGTAGCGCTGATGTAAGGCCGTAAAAATTTCTCTATTCGAGTCGAGACTACCTAGGCCCCATATAATTAAGAAAGGGTTTCATCTTTCTTTGAATCATAAACTCTTTTGTTGGATAATGTCTGTGCGTACTGTACAAATGGAGCATCAGTTATGTTAGGACCGGATTTCAAGTTTGTGTAAAGGTGAGCTCTGAAGGTGAGAGGCATTCATTCATGATTCATCGTCACGCACTAGCCTCAGAAACACTTCCAGTTCCATTGGAGAAGGTTTTGAATCAAGTAATTCAAATTGTAGATTTTGGGAAAGGTGGAGCTCTGAACTCACGACTTTTAAAGCAGTTATGTATTGACATAGATGCGGTCAATCAGTTGCTTCTTTTGCACACAAATGTTCGATGGCTTTCAAGAGGAAATGTAATTCAGCGAGTATTTCACCTTAGAGACGAACTCAAATTATTTTTTGAAGTTCTGCGTAAAGTGGAATTTTTTCTGTCTGTCTGAAGAGGAATGCACGATGCACCTTGCCTATTTAGCTGACATTTCTGAGCAGCTGAATAAACTGAGTCTTCAAATGCAAGGAAGAGATACAAACATTTTGCAGCTGATGGATTTCTTAAAAGCTTTCATGAGCCAGCTGAAAATTGGAAGAGAAAGTTCAATATCAGAAATATTTCAGTGTTTGAGAAACTGTCATCAATTCTTGTTTCTGACGATGAATTGTTTCCAGAATTCGCTGAACATGAAATTTGACAGCATTAGAAAATGAATTCAGCCACTTTTTTCCTGAACTCAGTGATGAAGAGTTGGATTTATTACGCAATCCGTTTAAATTGTCGGTTTAAAAAATTCCTGATGATTGCCAAGATGAATTACTGAGCTGTAAACTGTTTCGGGAACAGGGGATAGTGAGAAATCAATCACAGAATGTTGGCCCTTGTTGTGCGATTCCTACCCAGAAGTGGCAGAAAGAGCAATTCATACTTTTGATTACTTCCATTTATGTCGACATCTCTGTGAGTCAGGCTTTTAAACTCTGTTTCAAATAAAAGCGAAACCACGAAGTAGATTGGAGGCTGAAGATGATCTGCTATTGTCCGTTCAGCCGCTCCTCCGTGTATCCAAGAACTGTCGAAGGAAAAATAATTGCAGGTTTCTCATTTATTGTAAACTTCAACGAATAAAATAAATGATATTTCTCTGAATTCTATTGAACTTTTTGTTTATTGAAATGTGCTTAAGTAGAATAATTAGTTCTGAATATAATGACCCTAAATTTATTCAAGTTTTAAAGTTTATCAGCATTTCTGCTGCTATTTAATTTGTAACAAATGTATATGTACTGATGCAGACAAAATGAAATATTTTCAATATTACTTGAGATGCATCTTTTGAGTTGGACTCTCGTGGGAAAGGGGAATGATAGTCTGAACTACGATGAAGGGTTGGGGGAATTGAGCAAAAAAGTTTTCGAACTTCTGCTCTAGACTGATCGAATTTTATCGTTGTATCGTTTTTGCTTTTCTAGAAGTGATTACTTTTAGACAGGAAGCTCTTAAGTCAGTTGGTGGCGAGAATGTCGCAGCAGCATTGGAATGGTAAGAAGTGCCTCATTTGATATAATCCTTTTATTGCGTTGTTTGGCTATATTATCTTTTAAGGCTTCTGCGCGAGCAAGAAGGAGTTGAAGAACATCAGGAGAAAATTAGTGGAGATATTCCTGGAAAATCCAGTATTTATCTGTGCACATAGTTCATTTATAGTGTGGTGATGTTTGTGTTTTAGCTGATATGGCGAAGAACGCTGAAGCATCAGACCCCTCTGCAGTATCAGAAACGTCGAAAGCTCAGTCGATCAAATGCGATGAGTAAGGCTAACAGCGTAGTTTATATGACAACTTCCGTTTCGAAGTATTGTAGTTGTTGAATGGGTAGTAACAGTGGGTTTACTCGGTCGATGGATTTGTTCGTTTACGAATCGAGGACTTGTTTCCATATCCAACTGTCAATGCACCATTTCTTTATCCCATTTTCATGAGATACGTCAACTTCCACTTTGAGTAAACAACTTTGTATATCGCCAACAAAAGGTTTTCCCTTTTATGCGAATCTTTCTTAATCATAAGAATTGATCATCATATGCCAGTTTTGATGTCTTTGCTAGTACTAGAGTATGTTAACCGAATACTGCAATGTTCGCCGTTGTTTTTACATAGTCTCACTCTATTGAGCGGACGTTAATAGCAGGTGACCTTTCAGGTTTGATACTGATTTTGATTTTCACTGAGATCAAGTTTCCTTTCTTATTTTCTGTGAAATTAAGGCTGTCATTAATTGTTTTATAGTCAGGGTAGGAAAACAATAAAACTCTAAGCTTATAAGGAAAGAACATTAAGGAAGGTTGAGGAACTAGAAGAACAAGAATTTGAACGACCTTTCGTGATAATATTAAACCAACTATTTACTTATGCTATAACCAATATTCATTCATTGTTGGAGATGGTTCAATAATTAATTATGAAAATTGAAGCGTTCGGTTCTGGGAACAAAGGGACTGAAGTGACAACATCCATGGATAATCGTCGAATTAGAAAATGCTGACCGTGTAATATCAAGGAAGTCAGCATGTTAAGCTTAAAAGTGTTTCCATAAACGGTATCCTAAGCTGAAACACAGCATGTTCAACAATGACACTTCAAGAATATGAATTTTGTCTTCAGGCGATCGTGTCTTAACATTCAGTAAATTCGTATTCTCGATGGTTGCAGACGCTTGAACTATGGATCTTCAGGAAGTATCCATATATTGAATATTCTACCTAGTTTAGATAAGGTGATGCAGCGAAAGTAGACAGTGTGTAGAAACGTAATATAAAGCTTAGTTTCGACAGAATTAGACAAGAAATGTCAACGAGTCAAGAAATTAGAAAACTATGTTCTTCCTAGAATGTCTGGTATTTAGATATTTTTGTGCCGTAATTCAAGTTACACGAGAAATCGACAGCGATTTTTACAACGGTGAGGTATACAAATTTTGGCTACTGTGTCGTTTAAGAAATGTTAGCTGTAGAGAACAATAAGAACAGCAATTAGGTGTTGAAAATTCGATCACTGGACGACTTTCACATGACGTGCAAAAGAATCAGTGTTTGGAATTCAAATTCTTGCTGTCATTGCAAAACCAAGCACGTTGGTGATTTTTCTGCTACCTAAATCTACCGATAATTGTGGAAAGTAACCGTTTATCTGCCAACGGCAATGGCTCTAGTGTTATCTTTGTCAGTAAGTTCATTAGTTGACTCCCACAACCATGTTATCCCCAGTGTCGAAGAAAAAAGAAGTACACTCCCCTCCTCACCTAAGCGTTTCCATGGTTCAAACTGTACATCACTTTGCTAATGAACATAGCCAGCGCTTAACTTTATCCATGAGCATAGCATTGTTTCTTTGCTGTTTACAAAGGAATCGCTACATTCTATCTAGCTAGAGCTCAGAATCGTCACCGAGAACAATGCATGAACTGTTACATTATTTTTTGATTTTGAGATTGTTAATAATATAGTGGTAAAGGTAAATCACTTTAATCAGCTACAGGTCACAACTTTTTAAATCAGGAAAAAGAAACAGAAGGTAAGGAAGATGTATTAGTATATTTCGATTTGAAGTGTCGGTGACGCCTTCTGAGCCCATGACACGATTAAAATTGGCTTAACCATACTGCTGTCTCGCTGATCTACCTCATCAGTCGCTCTTTCCAATGTCGAATCGTCTGCTTGTAAAAACACGCAGCCAATTTTTTTATCGTCAACGCAATGCACGGTTACTACGTTGATATTGCCTGCTTTGCAGAGGTTCGTTTCTCGCACACGAGCAAGGTCAGTGTGAATAATTCTAGAAGACATGGAGCGGCGAGTAACATTCTCACTGAGCACACGCTGCCTTTCTATCTTCGAACCCCGCTAGAACTTACCTTTTCTCTGTTCGCATGTAGACACCGTTCGCCCGTTGTGTCAGTCTATGTTTCTACGTTAAACAAAGACGACTAAGTAAAATATCAGGCCTGCTCGAGCGTGCAGCAAGAGACCTTCTCTTCGTGGTCGGCGATTGGAATGCTTCTACCGGTTTTGACAACGACAGTAACCGACACGTTATAAGAAAAGTTGTTGTTGTCGTCGTTATCTGTGGTATCAAGGCCAAGGTCCAAATACCCAGATTAATGATGTCTGCGGAAATATATGGGCTATGTAATTACTGCGGAAACGGCGACGGTCTCGTATGCAGTTCGCCAAAGGAAACAGATTAGTCGTTACGAATTTCCGCTTCTTACTTCGCCAATGACATTTCCTCACATTAGGCACGGGGCACACCGGTTAAACTATACTTTAATCAGTAGAAGATAGGTTAGCTCTGTATATAAAAGTGAAACCGGCAAAATCCACAACTCTTGCCACGTCTTGGTCATCGCCAAGTTGCAGTTCAGTTTTTAGACCAAGTCCTGGTCCCCTCAAAGTAAACCATCGACTGCTCTCGACTTCGAGGCTCAAAAACGGTAGCTTCTTTCCGTAACGAAGTCCAGCGTGGCTATAAACTGTCAGCTCTACCTCCATTTACCGATATGGAGTGAAACTGGTCAATACAAAAACGCATGTTGCTCAACGCTTTCGCTATAACCATTGGTCATGATATCATCACAGAAAGATTTGGATTTCGGCACGGACTGTCTCGAGTATGGCGAATCAAGTTCTTCTGACTCAAGTATCAGGTAATGCTGATTTCTGAATTCTCCGGTGAAAAGTTGCACGCTGAGTTTGAACTGATTAGAAAGAGTGTTTTTACAGAAATGACTACAGCGAAACAACAACTCTATGCCTGCTGATAATATTAACCATACACAAAGAATAATTGCGCGATTGCGAGTGCAATTACTCGGTTGATAATATTTCTCAAGTCACGGAAGGCATATGGATGGACGGGGAGAACTTTTTGAGGACTTCTTAGCCATGAGCCACCACCGGACCCCATCCTAACGGCAATTTTACAGAAATTCAGAGTGCGACAGACAAAATCTACACGTTTAAACATGAGACCGATGCGGAACGAAGTTGCAAACATCATCGCAAGACTCAGAGAAAATGGGTTGCCGGCAGAGATCTGCAAGTTCAATTAGAAGTCCTCAACGATACCTGTGCGGATTATTCTGCCGGATCTGCGCTGAAGAACAACTGCTGTAGAACTAAAGTTAATCTACATTGATGTGCCTGTTTAGACACAGTGATCAAATACTGCAAGAACTACCAACCGATGGATGTAATTAATGTATTGAAATAAGGTTTTACCGTCTACCCTTTGCGGTTGTTTCAGAAGGCGAGATGCCGGAACACGTCCTAATAAAGCTGAATTTCGCATCGGTGGTAGACAGAATTTAAGTAAGAGACCTTCCGATAATCAGTGACCGATTTGTTTGACAACAACACGCCCGCAGTTACTAGAGTATTTTTTTCAAAGTAAGGCTTACCCGCTTTCTGATATAATCTTTTCACTGTTGTAGTTGGCCTCTAATCCGCCTTATTCATCTGTCGACCAGTCGGTAGTCATCGCCTACCATCTCCCGCCTGTAACCAGAGCTATATTTCCCAAGCGTCGTGGTTTCACCTTTCAGTTTTCGACGATAAAGTCCTTCACTACTGTTCGCTATGTGATCAGCGTGTTGGAGTTGGTGATATGAAATTCTCATCATTCTTCTTTTCATAATTCTCTCGCTTACGTGTAGTTGGTGCTCTTCAGCTTTATTGAATGACCACGTCTCTCAAGTATGCAACATTGCCGGCAAGACTGTAGAATTTAAGAGGTTAGTGCGGATTTCTTTCCTGATTTTGCCGAGGAGGACGTCGTTCACGGATTGAAATTTCCCCTAACCGGCCTTCTTTCTCGGTACAGTCTCTCCATCCTGGTCATCCGCATGTTAATCTCATGGCCTAGGTAAACGTAATTAACGACTTCTTTGTCTTACCGCCGTTTAGTATTGCTTTGGTGATCGCGAATATATTATCCAGTTATATTCTCTTCGCTGAATTATTCGACACCGCCTATTATCAACAGCCGAGTCCGTTTAACGTTGAGATTTTTCCAGCTGCCTCCTACGTGGTCGTCAGAGATTCTTTAAGTAGATCATGCAGGTTGGTAACGTTCCAATGGAGCTAAATTTGTTAATGAGGATATTTTATAACCAGAATCAGGTAAAGATTTATCCTTAAGTTCGTAAATAGGAGGGCTCTCGGATGTTAACTCATGAGATTGGTAAGGCTACGTTCTCTCATAAGTCCTTTTAAACTTTGCCATCGACTGGATCATACATACGGCAATTGATAGATGCGATGGCGTGGAGACTTACTGTGAGTTTGTATTGTCTCACTTATGCATACTATATCGCTCTCTTAGAGTCGAGTTATGTAGCGGTGCAAATTACCTTACTTAGTAAAAGTAGTATCGTCTACCGTACTACATACTAATGTCTCAGTAACAAAGATTTTCGTTTGCGTTTCTTTCCAACGACTTCAAAATCATCTTTATTGTACGCTTGTGAGTGTTGATCGTTTCTCGGTCATAAGTCTGATGGCGAAAAACATTTCACCCAAGGGGTCTCCTTATTCTACTACAAATACGTCCTTACGATAAAGGGTGTCAAATTGCGAAGTCTGCAGATACTCTAGTGCTCCTATCCAAAAGCACCATCTGCGTCGGCTTTGACATCATCTTCGGCGATCCCCCGAAAGCGACCGTATATAAAACGCTGTGCATCAGTCCCTGCTTTGAGCGACGTAATCAACGGATGTTCATCTTAATACCTAAATCGACAGTGAAATCCGAAATTTAAAAGAACTCGGAACCAAAGGTGTGCGGATACGATGACGGAAGGTTCAGCCATCCTGATAATGAACCTTCCGCACAATCAGGGTGTAGACGGCAGTGACACGCGTCGACTTTGAAGTCGATTAAGTCAGCCATGGTCACACTCATAATGATTGAGCGATGGGTCACAGTGCAGGTTTCATCGTTACATATATTCCTCCAAGGTACTAAGAAAATAAAAACATTTTCTAGACGGTAGAAGTAAAGTAAACAGTATGTCAGCAACGAAGAACAGAAGAATGTCTCTTTCGGGATCCATTTAACAGCACACGTTTGTCTCCAATAGTAGCTCACTTTATAAGTGTAATGTTTCAGATCCTGAATACAGGGTTAAGATCAATCATATTTCAGCCAGCATTGCTGTTTCATCTTTGTTACTGGAAGACACTTTTGTGTTCAGCTCAAAAAGATGAGAAAGGAGTCCTTGTTCCACGAATAGTACTTGTCGCACTTCCCTTGAATAGTGGATATAGAATACTAACATATCAGTAAAACTGGTTTCGCTGCTTAAACCTTGTTTTTATAAGGTGAAACTCGAAATTTGCTTTAGAAAATTTTCAGGTGTCTAACATCTATAGATGGTTCGACGGTATTTCATGAAACGTCGTGGCATAGATTGCCTTCTGATTTTGGGTGCAACAGTTTGACAGTTCTGTTCGCAAATTTGTTTGAAATAACTTAATTCTAATCCTTTCGATTCGAATTGCCTACTGCTATTGTAATCTATTTATTTATGACGTTGAGCAACGATTTGTTTAGTCACTGCAAGCTATATTTTCTCTGCGCTTGCCATATTCTCTAATTCAACCTTTTGGTGTTCCATGTGATCGAGTGCTTGTTAATGTCGGCCACGTGTAAATTATAATACCTTCTGTGATTTACTGTTGCCTGAGTTATTGTTATCAGTATTCAATTTCTTTTTAGGTGCGGCAAACTTCTGGCTACCGAAGCGGACGTTTTGTTGCATTCGACGAAAAGTGGACATTCGACGTTTTCAGAAAGCACTGAGCAAATACAGCAGATGACCGAAGAGGAGCGGAAGGAGCGTCTCAAGGCGTTCGTTTAGTTTTTCAACGTTTTTCTTTGTTGAAGTACGACATCGTAGGATTGAATCGAAGATCAAAGAAAATCGGATCAAAATGGAGGCTTTAGATCGACAAAAGGCCATCGATATGGAGAAGCAGCGGAGAAAAACTGGTCAGGAACTGTTGCAAGCTAAGCAAAAGTACGATGACACGTTGAAAGTCGGTTTCCGTAGCGTTTCATCAATTCAGTTATACTGTGTCGTAAATTTTGCGAAGCACTGGCGCGGTGACGCTCTTTTGGGTTCAATATTTTGGTACTCTACCACACACACCTTGAAGCAGCCCATCGCCGCCTCATTTCAGTTCTCAGTAGCACGTACAGATGCAAGAAAAAACGAGCCTGAATTAAAATCAGGAAAATCGATAGGGCTGCTAGGAAAGGTTACGATAATACTCTGACGGATATAACAGTTTCTCATCCAGTGCTCGAATGAAGTTTATTGGTTGGTAGAGAGAAATTTGTTTAATTCACTATGCCACTGATTGCTGTCAACGCCTGTCCTGCGGTCGCCGCGCTGAATCTGTGTAACTGGACTGTAATCAGCTACATCAACTGCGTGATTCATCCCATCATGTTATATATCGGTTGAGCTCTCAGTAACTGAAGTACGTGCCATTAAAGCATTAAGTTTCTTATTGCAATTCCACTGTGATGGCTGTGCGATATCAGTGCACCAGGATGCAATCTCCGATCACAAATTTGAATTTATGTCATTGGCAGCTGGTCATCTGTGGCAATTATTTGTCTTCGCCCTTCATATTACCTATCAATTGAAATCCTTTCGGGAGTACACTGTGATGCCGTTGTCAAATTATGAATGTCCATTATTTTCGTTTCAATTTATGATTCCGGCGTGGGACAGCGCCAGTTCGCTAAGTCAACGTGCAGCATTTGATCAGGAGTCTATATACACACATATGTGGTCTTCATGGGTGGCCTTCTCATCCGTATATAGCCAAGCACTACCTTTTACACCTGAGGCTGTAAGCATCTCTGGGTGGATTTTGTCTACTTCAGCATCCTTGTCACTATTCAAGATTTTGCAGCACCTGAAAATTCATCGACCGAAAGACGATTGTCTTCAGTGATGTCGCCTTGCGATTGCTACTGGCTACAGAGTTCTTCAAATATTCTCTCCATCACTAAAATATATTTTCTTCCAGGGTACGAAGACTCATGAATTTGTCCATCAGGACTCTTATAATGTCGTTCTTTCCATCTCGATGGAGATGGATGGTTTGCTAGAATATTTTCATTACCGTCTGGAAAGTATACTCCAGCACCATCGAGCGTCTTCCAGAAATCAGCTTTCACCTTGGCTATTTTTTTCGCATCCACCTTGCGCAATTCTCGTACTGAATTCAAGATGAAGGCTGCTTGCTTTCAAGCACCTCTTGCATTGAGCCTTCTTGTTGACTGACAGTTGAACCTTTGGTATCCACTAGAAAGTTCCTTCCTGGCACTGAGGCGATAGGACAACCCATGTTCAGAAGGTCGTGCGATGTTGCTTGCAAGTTTTGCCCTACTCTCCGCAGAAGATAATTTTTCCCATTTGATTCTGTGGTTGCTTCTGCCACCAAGTCTTCACATGACACTCCATCGTCTACAGCGGAAGTGCCATCGCAATAATGGTAGATTGACAACTCGACGTATTTCGTAACGTGAGCATCCATTACTGAATATCGTCTCGTGCGATACGATTATGACATTGATCATCGACTTCTGTGCACAAGATTCCAGGTACCAGGTGTACTGATGCACTTTTCGATGCTCGAAGAAGGTGTTCATAATGGACAGTCCGTTGTTGGTACAAAACCGCAACAGCTTCTTGCCGTTATTGTTGATGTCGCTAGGGCCGTTTTTTCCAATCACGCCGTTCCACTTTTCAGCGTCTACTCAAACATGCGTATTAAAATCGCCCGTGAGTATGACGGACTGCGTATTCGGCGAAATTCGTACAGAACGCATTCCATTTCCTCAAGGAATTACTCATATTCCCCCTCAAAATTAGGCACATAGACCTGTAACAACGTCAACGCTTGAGCCATGTTGTAGCTTCAGTCGGAAAATTGCCACTCTTCCGCTGATGTGCTTCAATGATTCTATCAGCCGTTTTGTTTTCTATCAGAATACCAACACTGGCCTGAGCACGTGTCGTAAGTCGATACTTGATTAGAATAAATTCCACCCGCAGAGGTTCCGAATTCTACAGCTTTAACGCTTCGTTTACGAGAGTCACTATGTAGAGTTGATTCCTTATGGCTTCATTCAAATAGCTCATGCATTTTCTCTTTGAGTGAGGAATTGTTCCGTTTACTGACTGTAGGATCCCACTGTCGGTGTTGTTCCCGCGGTTCCTTATCTGGCGTACTATGATGACTGCTTCCTCGGTTTAAAACGGGTAGCAACTTCGTTACTGACTGTATCATGATCATCTTTTTATCGATGGTCGGCAGCCGTCGCCGTGGGCTATGCCCCCATCTGCTGGATGGCGAGAGTCCGTCGACGTTTGACAGTTTGCCTTAGTTCCTCAGTAGCCTGCGTGGCCTTTGGTAACCTAGGCAATGATTGTTGACAGCAGTACCATGACGGGCAGACGGTTGTTTTTTGGATGACTCCGCCACAGTCCCAACCTTCGCCTTTTCTCATCCTGGCTTGGGACTGACAACGACAGAGTGTGCTAAATGATTTAGAACCACGGTAAATATTCTCAAAATTATGTGTAGTTAGTATATTAAATTTCAGGCTGGAAGAAATGGAAATGAAAAAATTGATCGAGGAGAGGAAGAAGAACAAACGCGAAGATTACTTAGCCAAGTATGTAACATTCCATCGTTTGGACTGTAAACTTTGTTTAATTTGTTTAGACAAAGAGTTCTCGAGCAGATTAGGCAAGATCGAGAAGCTCGGAAGCATGTAAATATTAACGTTTTTTACTTCTTTGCTTCAGAATTCTGACTTTAGTTAATTCACATATAGTTTTTGGTCAAAATTTAATCTAAGAAAATGGGCGAGTTTCTTGATACATGAGGAAAAGATTTTTGTGACCTGTGGAAGTCTGGTCTGTTCCATTTCTGCTTCATAAATTACGAGGACCTGAGTAGAAGCAAATTTTCCATGGATCTATTTTCTCTTAAAGCTAGTTCTTTCCTGGTGTTTTTTTCGTAATTAGTGGCTATCTCGATTACCTAATCTCTGTGCCAACGTTCCGATCTCTCGTGCGATTTATCGTCACAAGCTTATATATTTCTTTTGTATCTCACCATTCACATTCCATTTGAACCTAAGTTATCTAAATGGGTGCTTGCAACACTTTGGTGCCAATCATTTATTCGATCTTGATAAATACTTCCTGCGACTGTCCACTTTCACCAGGTGTAATCAATAAAACGTCCATTTGCCCTTCATCAGAGTAGATTGAGATTCCAGATCACGGCTCTGTGAACCTTCGTCTACTCACAGTTTTCCTCAGAAAGTTGAGGCGCAGCCACCTTTTCTCTGACCGTTCTTTTCAACACTACTAAGCAGTTCCTTATTTCCTGTCGGAAACGTTATTTCTTATACAGCGTTTCTTATTTCAAGCGTTCTAAGATCACCAACCATTCAATCTACTCTGAAGAAGGTCTCAAAGATACTCATCGAAATCCGTATAAAACAGTGTTTTACGTAATAAACTGTTTTGCTCTTTTTTGTGCAGTTTCAGTTACCACGAAAAATTTCTTGTGTTATATAGAGAGGGAATCTCAGCCAGTGAGGAACACTTCCACAGGGAATTTTAGGGCGTTTAGGGCGAGAATAGGGTCCACTATTCAGCTTAATGTGATGCTCTGTAGATTCTGTAAAATCTGTAAAATTGTAGTTTGTTTGAATTTATTCTGCAACGTTCAGTAAAGTCTATTGAATGCCACATTAAAATCGATTCTTATTCATGCGCATTATTTTAATTTGCATAATTCAATCATTATTTAAACACCAGAAAGTGCACCAAAAATTCTATTATATGTTAACTAAGAACTTTTTCTCTCACGAGAAATGTCACCGTCACTCGGGAAGCGTCAACACAAGCGCCGTCTGTCTCAATGTTCAATTTTCTAAAAATGACGTCATGCGTTAGTTCCTGCTTCTCCGAAAACGCGAATGTGCTGACCACTGACACAAGTGAGCAATATAATTGCGATCATATCGTTTCAGCAAATTGTTTAAATAAAGTTAATTTTTTAAAGTTATCCCTCAACTATAGCCAGCGCTAATACGTCTTCATCTTCTCCTTTCGAGTCGCGGAGGCAGACACGTCAGAGAAAGCTTCCAACGTTCCCGATTCTGTGCAAGAGTCTCAGCTTCGGCAAAAGACAAATGGAGTCTGCAACAGACTTCTTCCATATGTTTGCACCAGGTTAATCTTGGCCGTCCCCAGGGCCTTTTGCCGGTCGGATTTGCAAGGAACAGTTACTTAGCCTTCCTTTCTGGAAGCATTGGCAACACATGCCCAAGTCATCGCAGCTGTGACTTCTCAATCTGG